AAATAAATCAATTAAAAATAAAATATAAAATTATAGAATTTGTTCAAAGAAAAAGTATAAGAAGTCATGAAAATATTTTAATATAAAATATCAAATAGATAAAAATGAATAATTTTGATTGTATACAAAATTATAAGATAAATTATCACATAAGTTATATTTTCTTTCGCGAAATTTCGCGACCTGTTTCAGGTCATTGAGCTTGACGTGAATCGCGTGTTTACATGCGAGCTTAGATCGATATAACAACGTTTACTATACATATATATATATATATATACATATATATATTGCAGTATAGTATATACCAATACAACGATATATTGCACCTGCAGCTAACACACAAATTCGATTCCTTCTTGGTTATATATCGGATATTTCTTGCGTGCTTTAGTCTTGGAAATTCGATATCGATCGATGTGTTCCCATCTCGATGTTGGCCCTTCCTTCTATCCCTGTGTCCCTTATAACTTTACTCGTTAAAAGACAAAGATCGATGACTGTGTGTATCCTGCTTGTTCTATATTACTGAAAGAAAAACCTTAAAACATCCCACCACCCTCTCTGGAGAGAGAGAGAGAGACTAAAAAGAACAAAGAAAAGAAAAAAGAAATTTTTTTTTCCCCTCGCTTAATCACGATTCCCCTCCCCCCCCCCCCCCCCAGTCCTCCCAAACTTTTCAAAAAGGAACTTTTTACTTTTCCTCGATCGATTTAATACCCTCCCCAACTTGATATCTTTTTTTCGACCGAAAAACTAACCAGAACTTTGGCAATATAATAAAAATATATTTAAATTCTGTATAATATAATATTAACAGAAATAAATAAATAAATAATAATTAGAATTTAATTAATTGTTTTTATCACTTAGAATAATTAAAATTATTAATAAATATATAACAAGGGGAAGAGTTGGATAAAGTAAAAATTAAACAGAAAGATATAAATAAATAATAATTAGAATTCAATTAATTGTTTTTATCACTTAGAAAAATTAAAATTATTAATAAATATATAACAGGGGAAAGAGTTGGATAAAGTAGAAATGAAATCAGAACGTTATGATGTGATTTTTTAACAAGAAGTTCTTCGAAAACAAAAATATTTCGAAATTCTGTATAATATAATAAACAAAAATAAATAAATAAATAATAATTAGAGTTCAATTACTCGTTTATATCACGTAGAAAAAATTACAATTATTACTAATAATAATTAAAAGAATACAAAAAGTTTTCCATACAAAAGATCGCGAGACTAAAATTACAAATAAAATGTAAAAAAATTATTTGAGAAGAAGATGGGATAAAATCGAAAGGGGAATGGGGAGCAAAGGGAAGTATAGTGATGACGTTAGAAAAAAAAAAAGAGGTTGGATAAAATATATAAGATGGAAAACTCGATCGTATATCTATCTGCACGTTTCGAATATAAACTTTGATTTAAAAGTGAACGATAAGAACGATAGTTTATCCTTCTTCTACTTTTACTTCTACTTCTTCCTCCACCTCCTCCTCCTCCTCCTCGTTGAACTTAGTATATCGCACTATGAAAAATA